GATATAGTTACAAGCTCGATATATCCGTCCAGTCCAGTCATTCCCCTTTAGATCATGCATCACGTCGTGCGGTAGCCAATCCGCACACCGACAGTCCAGTCTATCCCAATTCCGAGTCCCTCATAGCAGGCGGGTGTGCCGCAGATCGGCATCATGCGACGACCTTGGCCTTCGTGAACGCGGCGAAGTAGTCGTCCAGGAGCGCCGCCTTGGCGAGCGGCACGGCGGTCGCGACGTACCCGTCCGGGCGCACGAGCACGATCGCGCCGTCCTCGGGGCTGACGCCGTACGTGTGGTACATCTTGCCGCCCTGCGTCCCCAGGAAGTTCGTGTCGTCCAGCAGCACCCTGCGCCACACACAATACGCACACCGTTAGGCACCGCAACGAAGAGAGAATAGATGATGAAAAGATGACGCACTTGGACCAGTGCGGCCGCAGGAAACGCGGCACAGAGTGGAAGTCGACGTCCTCCTTCTTGCTATGCACGACCGTCATCACATCGAACACGCTCTCCATCGTCGCGCTCGCGCCCGCCGCGCGCGGCACGGCCTGCAGGAACGCGTCCTCGCGCGCGAGCTCCGCCGCAAGCTGCTCCGCGCGCGCGCGGTGCGTCGCGTTGGAGAGGTCGCCGAGGAAGACGAGCACCTTGAAGCGTGTGTCGGCCGGGCAGCAGTCCTGGATCTCGACGGGGCGCGCGTCGGCCGCGCGGAGGACGACTTGTGGGAGCAGGCGCATGCCGATGGTGAGACCCGAGGCGGCGGACTGGTATGTCGTGTTGGTGATGGCGGAGGGCGCGTAGTGCACGCCGATGCCGGAGGTGAAGCTGCCGAAGGTCTGGAAGGCTCTGTGGGTGGTGTGGGGGAGGTCAGTTGGGAAGAAGAGGGAGAATGGGGGAGGGAGGCGTACTTCAGGAATTGTTCGTGTGTGACGCCGTCGGTGTAGTCAGCTGTTCTGGGCTTCCCGGAGAAGAGCGCGGAGAACTCTTTGTCGAAGGCGATGAGGTCCTGGGCGTACTTCCGGCGCTCGAACTCGTACTGCAGGGCATAACGGATCAGGGACAGGAAGGAAATGGGTGCCTGGAGATACGAACAGTCTTCAGAAGGGAGATGTCTGCCCATCCGCGGAGAACGTATGTCAGTTTCCAGGCTGAAATCACGGAAGGTCAGATTGGGTATTCTATACTGAAATTTTAGGAACGTACCCAAATTATGTGTATCATTCATGCTTGCGTTCATCCCTTGACCTGATGAAGTATCAGGAAACGTGGTATAGCGTTCAAATATTTCAGTGCATACCAGCCTTTGGCGAGTGTGTATGGCAGGCATCGCCAGCAATGAAGACACGCTCGTGTGATGAGAAGGAAGATGCAACGCGCTGTCCGACTAGTTTGGCATCAATAACCTGCTTCGAACGATGGGTGATGAATGACTCACTGATGTACAATGTCCACCAGTCAATCTTGCTGATATCCGTCTTCATGGTATATGGGTAAAAAGACTTGGCTGCGACCTAAGAAGCACGATATCGATCCGTGATCAAGGAAATAATAAGAAAGTGTCAGTGCCTACCTCCATGAGCTTGTCAGGGCCGTACTTCTTCATGTCGACGCGCCCCGTGACAGGATCCCGGACGTCGGAGTTGGTGAGCTGGATATACAGACGGATTTTGTCACCTTCGCGAGGGATAATCATGCAGGAGCCGTTGTTCGAGTGGACTGCAGTGCGGTTGCGGTAATCAGGAAAGTTCGTGTCTTCGGAGGGAATCATGTCAACGACGCCCCAGATGTAGTCCGTCTGGTCGCCGTCCATCGAGATACCGAGCGTCTTGCGCACCCATGAGTGAGCACCTATAGGACGTTATTGTTTAGTCTTTGTTATAGTTGTTCCCACATACCATCAGCGCCAACAACGTATTTTGCGTGGACAATTTCGCTCGAGACGGGATCCTTACCCTCTGCGTCGAGGTGTTGGAGAATGACCTACGGCCTCCGAGTTAGCGTACACGCCTGCGATTCGGTCCTGACAACCATACCTTGACCGGATGTGACTGCGGGTCCTTCAAGAGGGCCTCGTCTGTCGAAATTTCGAGCGATGAGGGAATAACGGGTCGCTCGACCTCCAGCCCCTCCTTCCTCATAGAATTGAGGAAGATATTCTCGATTTCACCCTGGTGAAGGGTTGCCTAGAAAGGGAATAAAATAAGGCTCGCCCATTTGCAGAAAGTCAATTCCCTAAATACCTCGAAGGGATAACGGGCTGTTGGCGCGGATACATCCGGTGCACGTCCGGTGCGCTGCAAGAAACGCCTCAGCAAGATGCATCATACTGAATCTCTCGCTCAGACTCACCTCAATACCGCCGTCAGCACTTGGGTTGTAGAACGCCTGGTTGGGGTGTCAGCGCAGGGCAGGCCGATGCCATCGGATGCGGACTTACAGCCATGTGCATTTGCGCTGCCTGCGCCAAAAGCGGCTCCGCGATTCCGTAGCTCTGCGCGCCATATCATCAGCGCACAGCCAGGTACGCTATGTCATAATTGACGCACCTGGAGAACTTCGATTGTCCGCGGCTGGATGCCATCTGCCTGCCCCGCGGCGACTTTGGTGGGCCTGGCTCGACGCGCTCAGCAATGGCGAAGACACGCCTCACAGAGCTGAACGCACCTCTTGTCCACGATCCGCACATCGACTCCTGCCCTAACCAGTGCATTCGCGCACATAACGCCAGCCGGACCGGCACCAATAATGAGGACATCGACCTCGGACTCCTTCAAGGATGCAGCGGGCATCTCAGGTCAATCGAGGGGCTCAAGTAAATCAAGAAAGAGATGGCGGGGGGTGTTTGGGTGGATAGGATGCGGAGAGGAGGGTGGGGGGCTGGAGAGGCTGCATGACCGCTCTTTATTGGGATCCGAAGGGGCCAAGTGCAGTGTGCAGAGGGTCAGAATGGGGGCAAATACTGCCGCTGGCTTTCAATCCGTCAGCGCTCTGACCGCCATCATTGCCTCTTTTGGTGTCCGTTTGCTCACCACCTCCTCATCAATATAACTCCCTTACGTTCGAACGCTCGCTCTCCTCTTCGGATCTTCGCCGTGCGCATGCGTTCCTTGTTCATCGCCGATAGCGCGCATTTCAGGGCTTTTCTTTCCTCTGTGCAATTTTTTTCCAGTGAGTTTTCGAGTAGGTCTGCGTTTCCGGCGGTAATTTCCCCGCACTGGAAGGTCCGGGGTACCCCGCACGACATTTCAACATTAGCCCTGCACTCTATGGACACAAACGTCGATCTCGAAATTCGGATCATGCATAATCATGGTCACCCCCTGCACTAGTCAGGGAAACAGCTAAAGTTCAGCAGGAGCAAGTCAGACACGATATAATAGGCATCACTTCCAACGCGACATTCGTCCCGAATGGACAATTACGGACATCGATGCGCGAAGCGGCGTATCTTCCTGCCATGTGTGCTCAAGGCCACATCGACTTCGACGGGGGCGCCAGCATTGAGTCGCAGCCCTGCACCCTGTTCCCGGATTCTTCCTGTAATGATGACAACTGGCTTCACCAGGCTCTTTCCAAAGTAAGATCAGGGACTCCCATCGTTTCCGCCAGGGGTCCGTGGTGCTAATCTGCCTAGACGTGTCGAAACGGGTTATCGTTGTGTCTTCGCCGACCAGATGACCTTATAGAGGAAGAGAGCTGATCATGCTGGTGAAGGGCGATCTATACATCCAGATCCTTGAAGCACTCTATCCGCGTAAGGCTTGAGAATGGCCATGGTTTACAACGGCTATCGTAAGGATACTGACAGAGGCTGTTCATACACGTATATACAGTATGCACTGTACGAGTGTAGAGTACGTAGAGGAAATAAAGTCCAAGATACAGCACAGACAACAATTCGACGCGAATGAATACAGAGCGGCAAAACACAGAGCACGAGAACCAGGAGAAAGCGAAAAGGAGCTCGTAACAGTCGGAGTGACTTTACACCTCGCCATAGAATACACATTGCGCATACTGATCGTCTTCGAGTCCTTCCTTCGTCACTAATATGTCGCGTACCTAGACAGGAGAAGTGAGTGACGAATGAGAGCGCGTTGGGTGTGTATATGCGTCACACCAGTCATTTGTAGACGTACCTCTGATGGTGGGTCGAGACCAAGCGCCTCTGCGCGCTCCCAACGCTCAAGACGACTGACGCCGACGCAGGGTCCATACTCGTAGGATCTAAGACACAACACCTAGGTGAATACAAGAACACCGAGTAGATCACATCGAGCACATACAAGTCGAACACCCGGAGGATATGGTGGACACTCTTCTGTCCCTCCGCATGAACTAGACAGCATACAGTCAGTCAATGAGCGTCCGCCAAGTATAGAATCACCACAAACGCACCTGGCGGCAGATCCCCCATCTTCGACCGCGCCTCACCAAGCGCCTTCCTCCACCGCTTGTCTCCCGGGTCCAGCTTCTCCCTCTTCGCAAGCGGCGGAATCTCCACCCCGTCCGTCACTTGCGACACGGCCGCGCGCGCAATCTCCGCCTCCGACACCACGACCTCCACCTCCGCCTCGTCCGCGCCCAGCTTCCGCTTCTTCGCGGGCGCAGCGCCATTGTCGGGCTCGACAGCAGGTTTGGCGGGGCTGCTGCCCGACAGGGTGCGGATGTTGATTGGCCGCTTGGATGAGGGCGTTAGAGACTGTTTGGATTTGGCCCCGGCCGTCGTCGCGCTCGAGGTGCGCTTCACGGACGCGAAGGGCAGCGTGCCCTGTTTCGCGCTGGTAGAGCTGCTCGACCTCCGGGGGTGTTTGGTCGTCGCCATGATGGTGCTCCTAGGCTATAAAGTGAGAATGATACAAAGTTCGGGTGGGTTTGGTTATTTGGGATGACGCTGAATGTCGAGTCAAGATAGAAGCAGCGGCCCGGGCGAGCTGCGATCGTAATGGCGGACATAACGCGATGCAAGTTGTGAACTAATTGCTTTGCGGCAGCAACATGGCCGACTAGCTCAGCTGGTTAGAGCGTCGTGCTAATACTTGACTGCAAAGCTTCCAGTTCTGGCAGTGGCGCAGTTCGGGTACACGCGAAGGTCTTGGGTTCGATCCCCACGTTGGCCATGTACGAGTCGCTTCCCAGGATATTTTTCTTGCCTTCCGAAAGGCTCTCACTAATACTGACACTGTTCCCGAGTGACAGACACATAACGCACAACCCTCAACGTAACGTATCAGCCCCGGGGTCATCAGTGTATTTATCATGCTAAGCCTGGAGTACTTGAGCTTCGCTGGCACGCGTGGTATCCGAAATCCAGAAGCTCAACTTGGGAAGTAAACATGGCACGCGTACGAGCACAACAGCTACAGTGACGCTGGGGTCCTCTCTCCTCGAGAATTGGGTCATGGCGTACGAAAGACAGCTCTCAGACAGCTTGGTGTCAAGATTCGCTGGATTGAACGGGAGTTAAGTGCTCGACTCATATTCCGCAGCGGTGACACCAAATATGGCCCTCTTTGCTTCTAAATCCAGCATGCATCACTTAGACTGTCATTCTATTCAATACCGTCAAGGTCAGTTCCGTATCGTGCGGAATTTGTATCTTTTCTCAGCTTCCGTGGAACGCTCTGACCAGAGCAGTATGCAGATTCCGCAGTCCCTTTGGCTTCGACGAAGCATACAGTTTCCAAGATAAGTACTACCGGCCACGATTGGGAGATAGATAGCGATTCCGATGCGCCAGCTGATCCTTCGCACCGACACTTAAACAGGAGGTCTGTCGACTGCCCGTTGACTCTATTTCTCGCCATACCGTCCATCAGGATGTCATCCGAACTGAACGACACCAGTCCCGTACCTTCACCGACCACACCAGTGCCCTCCCTTGACGACCCCAAGTTTGATTATGCTGATGGCGACGTCGTCTTCCGGTCGTCCGATGGCACACAATTTCATGTCCACAAACTCATTCTCAAGACGGCATCTCCTGTCTTCGGCAATATGTTCTCAGTGCCTCAACCTCCCCCTAGCAGTATCAAGAGAGACCAGACCACGCAGGAGGGCATTCCGATCGTTGTTACGCAGGAAGATAAGGACGCCCTCACCATGCTGTTCGGCTTCTGCTACCCCGGGCCATGGCCATCTCTCCGCAATTTCAACGAGGTCACGACTGCCATTGTCCTGAAGAAGAAATTCCAGCTGGACTTCATTGAGGACTACCTGTTGCGGAGGCTGGCGGTGTGGGCAGATACCTACCCGGAGAGGGTTTTTGCCATTGGGTGGACACACGAGTGGAAGGATGCCGTGATGGCCGGGGCCAAGGCTACCTTGCGCAGACCTATTCTTTCCTCACTCGACGAAAGGATTGAAGAATTTTCGGTCATCCCGGCAGATGCCGCCTGGAGACTTTTAGCCTACCACCAAGCATGCAGCAAATGTTGCGTACCGCTGGCAGATAGGCACTGGGTGACTGCCGATGATGTGTGCACCCCTCTCGGGGTCGAGATAACTCCGAGCCTGCCAACATCGAGCTATTGTTCATGCATAACCAACTTCAGAAGGAGTGGTTGCCCGCCTCCCAGCGGCCTGCGCCTGGCAAGGTGGTTCGCCACCCTGATGGACACAGCTCGCGACACCCTCAGAATTACCCCTCATCCATCCTTGGTGACATCTTTGACGGTCATTGCGCCGAGCTTGACAGAAGCGAGGTCATGCCAAAAGTGTTCGGACACAGCGGCGGCGGCTCTGGATGCATTTACTCGTCGTTTCTCAGAAAAGCTAGCTAGTGCCATTTCTCAGGTGAGTTCTGCATCGGACTTGCACCGCGGTAGACTCACCTTGCATTCCTTCCTCTGTTGCTATCGCTTATAGATCGACATTGAGACACCGTTTTGATCATCGGGCTAAACCGTCGTCTATAGCTGTCATTCAGCTGCAGGATTGGAAGGATGAACTGGCGAGTATGTTCTCTCCGGTATACAGCACCAGTACTCATGGCGAGGACGAAAAAGCTATTCCACCATGCGCAGTATCAGTAGCCCTCGACGTGATTCACGCTTGTAAAGAAGAGGATTGTTCATACTGTATTCTCGGAAATGATAGCGGGGCTCTTTCTCACGAGACTTGGAGAGGGGTTCCAGACACTGTGCAGAGTGATCACCAGTTCGGCGGCATCCGAAGAAGATTAGATGATGACGCTGTAGAACGACAAGGCCGGGACCCACATAGCCCCTCGTCGTATCGATACTCACCGACATCATGCATGTGAACACAGCGTCATGCACGCCGGGCCCGTGGACCACGAATCAACACCAGAGTCTAGAATACTGCCATATCGAAACAACGCGCCCTTCTTTTGATTCTACTACACTACTATATATTCGTACACAGCCGCAGTCTGAGCAGGGAGGAAGTGAGTCCAGTACAAAGAGCCATGAGTAAGTATACAACTTGGATGCAGGATGGAGAACGGGGAATATCAAGGGAAATGGGAAAGATGGGAAATGCCACGATTATTGCGGGCCCGAGCGACGTGCCCGCAGCCGATAATATAACTGAACGTACGATAAAGCGAACCAGAACCAGCTGCAGCGCCGACCCCGTGTATCGGAGCGCCGCACAGCACGCCTACGCCTACGCCTGCGACCCCTGGGTATATTGCGATGCGCCCGTCATGGTGCACCGATGCGAAAGAACCGACGATCAAATTTTCGAGGTGCGGGGTGCAGCGTCTAGGACGAGGCGCAGGACTGGATGAGGGTCCGCGGCCGCTTGGGCGTGATGCCGTGCATGCCCGAGGGCAGGATGTCGTTGGGCACCGCGCCGTTGACGAACGCGCCGAGCGGCAGCGCGGGCCCGGGCGAGGGCGTCGGCGGGAGCGCCATGGGCATCGTCATGAACTGCCGCTGCGGCTCCTCGCGGTGCGCAGGCACTAGCACGGGCGAGCGCGGCTGCTCGATCTCGCGGGCGAGGCTGGCTTCATTTTCGCTGTCTTCCTCCCTGCAAGGATGGACGGAACGGATCCGCGTCAGCATGGGGCCAGGGGCGAAGGAGAGGAGAGTGAGGGCACACGCACTCGTAGACAGCAAGCTTGCGCTTCAGGCTCTGGTACTTCCTGTCGATCTCGTCGCGCTCCTCCTTGAGCGCCTTGCCGTACTCGCGCGCCGCGCGCCCGAAGGTGATGAGACCCAGGTGCGTCGCGGACTGCACCTCCGCGTAGTGGCGCCAGCGGGCGCAGTATGCACGGAGCGCGGCGTTCTCCGTGGCGAGGCGCGAGACCTCCGGGTCAGGGGACGGGGCGGCCGCGGGTGCGGATGTGGATGGGGGCGTGGGTAAGCCCGCGGCCGCGGATATAGAGGCGGGCTTGGATGGGGGCGAGTGCGCGTCGAGATAGACGCGGCGCAGGGGCGGCTGGAAGAAGGGCTGGAGGTGGGTGGGGATGAGGTGGGGATCCGCGGCGACTGTGGTTCGAGGGCTGTTAGCTGTCTGCTTCGGTGGAGCGCACGGTGGAGAGCGAGAACGTACCTACGGGGAGATGGCGGCGGCAGGTGGGGCAGCTGGGTCTGGTGGTACAGCGGAGGGTCTGCACGAGACATGCGTGGCAGAAGACATGACCTGCGCAGGGGATGAGTATTCGCGTTTGGATGCCGACGATGTGGATCGGGGGACGTACCGCAGGGGAGGGCGATCGGCGAAGTCAACGTATCCAGGCAGATGGGGCAGTTGCACATGTTGCCCGATGTCGGCAGAGGCGAGGGCCTTGGATGAGTAAGTAGTGCGATGGTGGGTAGGCCGTTATGTGAAGCTGAGTGTGGGGTAGGAGCGTCGCAGGCGGGACGACGATTTTATGTAGAACCTAGGATGTCTGGCATGGCCTAGGAGTAACCATACCTGCTTTTCCCTGCTGCACGAATGCGGCATGCATCCGGCCGGCGGCGCAAGCAGGACGGATAGAACGAAATGCCACCGGGGAAATGACGACGTCTAGCGAGGCCTGGCACGCACACGCGGGCGGCCTCGACGCGCACGACGTATCGCCCGCCCATCACTGGCGCCAAGTTCTCGAGAGCCTCGCGCTCGCGTGCGCAGGCAGGCAGTTTGTCCTTGCGTAGGCAAACCTGGGCTCGGCTCTAGGCCGCCGCGACGCGCGCGGGGACACACGAGCTCCTAATCGCGGATGGCGGGCGATCATGCTTTTGCGTGAAATCTGTCAACGAGGCGTGCGTCCCAGACCGCTCGAAAGTCAATTGAATGCAGAAAATAAACGACCTACATACGTCGCCCGCTTCTTGCTGCACTGGGCGGTGGAGAGTGCGGACCTTCCGACCTGGACAGCATCCAGTGCCAAGCACAGCGCTATTCCAATTCGGAACATACACACAAACGGTGCGTGGCAAAGGCCCGACTACGTGCGGCCTTTACTTGAAGGCGTCCAGGTTCGCCGTCGAGCAGCCCCTGCGCGCAACACACCGTAAAGGCCTAGGCCGTCTTTGTGTAATTGGAGTCCGGCCGAGGCACACTTTCAGACTCCGCGAAAGCCCAGTCGGAAAGACCCGGCCTTGCTTGCTTGTTCCTCGGGCCATCGAGCAGGCACAGCGATCTCGCTGGGCTCGTCCAGGTCGTGAACGAATAAGTATATTGCAAGTAGCGACAGAGACATAGACGTGGGGCGAGATGCATGAAAAACCAGTTATCTAGTGAAGAGTGAGAATGATATGCGAAGGTGCGTGTCTACCTGCGAAAAATACATGACCGTAGGATACATAAAGAAGGGTATGTATGCAGCAATCCAAAGCAACAGCGAAACCAATAACAAGTAGTGCGTATATAATAAACACAGCACGAGCGGGCGGCACTGAGAGGTGATGGCGTCGAAGTCGTGTATGATACATGACAGTCCAGGATCCCCGAGAGGCACTGGTCCAGGGGTAATCGCAGATCACAGGGCGGTCGATGACGACGCCGATGACGACGAGGCGTGTGGAATGAGCATGGCCGGGCAGGAGGGCTCGACCTTGCGGCGCTTGGGCAGCCGGCGCTGCTGCCGCGACGTCTCTGCAGCAGGGCCCAGAGTGCTTGATGCAGCCTCGTTGGGGTAGACAGGGGCCATGATGGGAGGAGTCAG